GTCGTACAGACCATTAGAGGGTTCCGACATGTCATACAGACCATTAGAGGTGGTTCCGACTTATAGGTGATCTTAGATTATTATACAGCTGTTGATGAGAAAAGCACTAGAGCGTATTCTTACACCATTCTTATCGTACAGACTACTTTAGGTAGTTCCGGTTTATGTGCAGAGTAGTGTCGCACAGGTCACAGTGGTGACTCCGGTTGGATTAGATATTGAGCTATAGAATTAATCGTACATGACAGCTGCAAGGTCTCCGGTTGATTCATTATGTCACCTGTTATATTGACGCATTCTTATTATGTTGTTGACACACCCCGATCCTAGAATCAAGGCGTGCTGGCCGTCACACCTTGATTATAGGATCGGGGTGTGTCACTGCTTAAAAAAAATTTTGAATACAACGGCTAGTCAGCTAGCCATTGTATTCATTTTTTTTTTTTTGGTTTTTTGGGCGAATAATTTTTTTTTTAATTCTTAAAAATTCTAGTTTTTTTTCTATAAATACCTAAACCATTCATTAAATTTAAGTTATAATTTTTTTGGTTTTTTGGGCCAATTACCATTGTAGTTTTTAAATTTAAGTTGTTGTATTTTTAAATTTAAATAATAAATTATGTTTGGTCCTCGGTTTGAGACGGTTTTTCGTGACAGGGCTAAAACGAGCCATATGGCCCTTTGGCCCTCGGTTGGAGACGGAGGTAAATATGACCATGTACTGTTCATTAAAATATTAATATCTTAAAGAGCCAGATTGCTAAAACGAACTATCTGGCCAGCTCTCGGTTAAAGATGGTCTAATTAACCGGCTGGGCTGTGGAGGAGAGAGATGAGAGAGATGTGTGCAGTCGGTAGGTAAGGTGGAAGATTAATTAAAGTATGGACTGTGGAGGTTGGATGGGCATTGATATACGAAATCTGCAAACCACTACTTCCCACCACCCCATGCATGCCTTGCTTGAAAAGAAAGAGGGAAACGTCGAGCAGTACTACTAGTACTGCCAGAAAATATACATATCAAAACTTAATTCTGGACCCAACCAACTTTATTTATGTGGCATAACCAAAGCAATCATGCTACTCATCTACCTACTGATCATAGAAAATAATACAACATTTTCAATTCTTTCTGAATACTTAAAACAAACCAGAAATTTAGATTAAGAAATAGTGTTACACTTTTTTGGGAAAAATAGATCACTTTTACGTTACATGCACCACTTGTAGTTGTGATTTTGGTGTTTTTTTTTTGTCAGACGATATGATATTTACACTTAAATAACAGGCAGTTAGTCACTTAGTCTATAATGGGTCACAACTTAATATCAAACTTATTAAAAATACATACATACATACATACATACATACATACATACATACATACATACATACATACATACATATATATATATATTATATGTGTATATCGTTCTAGCATCTATATGAATCGAACTCGAGACCTTCTCTTATCAAGTAGAGACCATGTTGATCATGTTCAAAATTGTAATCTTGATTAATTTGTTACAAATTTTGATGTGCTACATTGTCTTAGCTTTTCTATTGCTCATATCATGAGATCGATCCTTTTCCAGCTAAAATTTGGTGTATAAAGAATGAGTGCAACCTTTCCCTTGTTCTTTGGTTGTTGAGAATTTCCTCCTCACAAGAACACTCTTAATGATATATAGCTAAATAAACCTAACAAGTTCCTCCCTGACAGTACTGGAAATTTGGCAAAAATTAAAAGTATTTGGTACTAGAATTGATTGAAGTTGTCAAATTTTTTTTTTTTTGGTAACATAAGGCGATGGATCACCCAAAAACTAGCTCAAAGAGTTGTTACAGATAGTTCGAGTTATAAAGACTCCTGTCATATCATCAAATAACCGACTTCCAGTCCCAATTAAGAGGATTATCAAAATAAAGCTATCTAAGATCCATATTATAGCTCCGATTCTTTGTGTTATAAGTTGGAAAAAGCTATAATATTTGTGACACTCTTAGCATCTTTCCCTTCCCTTTTCCTTCATATTTGTCATGACATTTGTGATATTGTTGGGGAGGTCTTTTATATGATTCACATTAAGTCTAACAGTTGTTACTTATGATAAATTTAAAGTACGTATCCCATTTACCATTCAAATTTGTTATAAAAATTAACCGTATCTTTTTTTGAATGTGCATCGGGTTACTGAGTTTAGTTGGATCGTAAACGTACGTATCACTTGTTTGGTGGCTTCCTTGTTGAAATTTTTTGGGGCGAGATAATTATACTGCTACATAATGTTATTATTATATGTACGTACATATTATAATATCATAAGTAAAATAAACCGCACAGTTGATGTTTCATAGGAAATGATTTATGCACAACATTTTTCTCTTTCTACATACACACTCCTTTTATTTATGTTTACTTTTGTTCTTTGATTCTACTTTATTTTAGTTGATTTAAAAGCCAAAAACCAATAGAGGTGTGCATGGAAAGAAAAATGTTATACATTTTTTTTATTTCATTGACATATAACTAATTAAGTAAATGCACGTACTATAATATGATTGAATTGATAACATTACAATATAAGGAAAACTAATGAAAAGGGTTTGAAAACTTTGAGTTTTAATGATAAGGACAAAATAAAGGGTAAAGTGAATAGTACCAAGATTGACTTTTTAGTGTAAAAATGTGGTTTTTCGTTAAAGTGAACAGTACCGGGTGCTTTTCGTTAAAGTTCCCTACAATATAAGTGAATTAGCAACACAATGTTGTATTGTGATGGTTAGAATGAAGGAGTTCAAATCTTCTACACCCATTTTTTGTGCAGCCTCTTTGTAGCATCTATCATTAATTGACACGTGTTAATAAATTTAATTTTTATTAATTTTGTTGTCATAAACTTAACACAAATTAATTAATAACAAAAACTACAGAAAAGTCACGAACAAAATGAGTGAAAAAAATTTAGGGAACTTTAACGAAAAGTTCCTGGTACTGTTCACTTTAACGAAAAACCACATTTTTACTAAAAAATCAATCATGGTACTATTTACTTTACCCATTATTTTATCGTTATCGTTAAAACTCAAAATTTTCAAACTCTTTTCATTAATTTTTTTAAAAATTTAATGTCGGAACGAAGAATAAATTTTGGGCATGGTAGTTGCTGCTTGCTAGAAACTGACAAAGTATGAGTCCTGAGGAATTAACTGATTAATTGCTCACTGGAAATGCTGAAATTAGTCTCTTTCCCAAAACATCAACGTCAGGGACCCCCAACGCCGACACGACATAAAAATCAAATCAAAGTTGTTATACCTGGTTTCAAGTTTTAAGACAAATCATAGTATCAAAATCTATTTAAATGAGTTGGCCTTAAGTTAACGAAATCTCACAACTACAAATTGATTTGAGATACTCTCTGGACTTTATACTCTAGAGCTGACAAATTGAGAAATACGAATTGCACGATTTAAGTTGAATATAATTTAAATTGACTAATGAGAACATCATAATTTAAATTGAACAGTTCGAATTCTCGATTCATGATAAGTAGAACGTAAGATTCAAAGAGAGAATCTCAATCCCATAACTACGAACCCTAATTCATTAGTGAGCCATAACTACAAACCGTAATTCATTAGTGAGGATGAGTACGAAGGACAACTTTTATGTTTTGTTTTTTCTTGTTAGAGAGTATATTTCATCATCATTGAAGAAAAAAGAGGCCACGACAAAATTCCATCACAATGATGAGCGGTGGGTACCTAAATAATTATCCCTATGAACAACAACATACTATATTTAGTTGTTTATCGGTGTATTTATGATACCCAATAATGGATTTGTTACCTATATCTATATATAAACAAAATGCGAGTAAATAAAGATTTAAATGAACAAAAACCTATATTCCTATATATTTTTCTCCTAAATTTTTAGTGCAGATTGACTATTTTAAAACGGTAATAATAACATTCTTAGATATATTCACCATGTATAATATATGCGTGAATGAACATTTCTCAAATGTAAATAAATTCAGAAGCTTAGAAAGTTTGAAATAACAAAAGATACTATTATTAAAATTTTAAATTTCTCTTAATTTCTCTTCAAGTTACTGGCTCACATGTTACGTGAGGTTGAGCGTTGAGTTTGATTTGAAATGAGGTGTGATCCACTTCCTACTTTCTAAAAAAACGTGAGTTAAACTAAAGGAAAACTAATTGGTTAAAATTGTGAGCAGGTTCACTTTTGCATTGGCACTCAAATTTAAACCTATTTACATAGTAATTTAGAGAATTAATTTGTAAAAAAAAAAAAAAGGTTTAAAAATTAGATTAACTAGAGTCAATAAGTTGACTAATTCAATATAAAATGTTATCTTAATCACCAAGCGATAAAAAAATGATGTGATATCCATACATCCCATTTTACTTTTCACACACTTTTTTAATTTCCGGCCGTCGGATTGGGTGAATTGAAAAAGATCAACGGACATAAATTATCAAAGGATGTGTGAGAAGTAAAATAGGGTGTGTGGAAAGTAAAATGAGATGTGTGGATAGTACACCCCTAAAAAAATGTATGAGACTTGGTTCAAAAGTGGAAAACCCAAAGTTATGAATTTTTTTATTTTTTTATGAACAAAAGATAGTATCTTCACTAAGGAGGGGGTTGACGTAGTCTCACAATGAGCTAGTAATAATGTGATTCAAATTCGTTTTTCGCGAGCATCAAACCTAAGACTTCTTACTAGACCGTAGTACTAAATGACAGTTATGAAGTTGTTAGCCATGAGAAATGCTAAGGATACTGTTTAAAGTGAGACTCTTTATAATCTCACAATTTTTTTTTTCTGTACAATCTCACAATTTAATATCATTTTTCGTGTAAATATTATAAAATATTGTAGAAAAATAGGTGACCAAGGAAACCGAGTCTCATTACTGGTTTACCATAATATTCCACACCCTCTCTATTAATACATATTTAAACCTCCTCAATCATCGACCAACCCAATCAGCCCACCTTCTCAACTCACCCTTCGGCCGTTTGCCACCACTCTCTCAGCTCATCAGTCATCACCCTCCTCTTTGCCTCCTTTTAACTTCTCTCTCTCTCTCTCTCCTCTCTCTCTCCCCTCACGTCCCCCTCTACATGCTTTACCAATCCCAATGGGCAACCTCTGCGCCATCCTCGCACCCAAACCCGCCAAGCGAAAGCCCATAAAGCGCCTACCCAACCCGCCGGCGCAACCCAATTCCAGCAACCGCTGGACCCGTGTCCGATCCTCCCGGAAAGAGAAGCTCGACGACGCTCTAATCCAGGAACAAGCTCTCGCCGCCGCAATTCTGTTCCAGCAGCACCAGCAGAACGGCTCTCTGCCCTTTGATCGCTCCGCCTCCCTCCGCTACCCCAATTCCACTTCCAAGAAGGGCAGCAATGCCCTGCCCCGCAGCTCCAGCTCCCGCGCCAGGTCCCTCACCGACCCCCTCCTCCAGCCCCACCAGCTTGTCAATCAGGTTAGTGTTAATGACTTTTGATTAAATTTTGTTAATTTTTGGATTAATATTGTTAATTTTTGGATTAAAGTTTCGAACTTGGAGTGGATTGTGGACTTAATTAACAATGTCCTCTTCTGGGTGTTTTTCTCTATTTACACACGTGCACAAACTGACAAATACATGCATATTTATATCTATACATGTGTATACCTCTGTTCTTGCATACGTACTTGTGTACCTTAAAGATGTTCGATTTTTTGTTTTAATTAAATTCCATATGTTGCAATTTGTTTTACCTTTCTGGATGAATTAACTTGCATTTCAAGTTACGTCAATGTTTATATACCGAATGCCGAGAAGTGGCGGGTTTAAACTATCATGATCATGTAAATAATGGCGCAGAGAATCGACGTGATGTTTCTTGTGTTGATGTATGGAATTCCTTTGTTGTGATTGTTCGAATACGGTTTATTTTCACTGATTTGATTAAGTTATTGTCTAGTTTCCGCAATGACGTGCTCGATTGTTGCCATTGTTGAATTTCTTTTGGTTCTTAACAAATTTTGTGTTTTGATAGGACGTTAAACTTGATGATCTAGAAACCAACCATTTTGTCCTTGTACATGGAGGTGGCTTTGGTGCTTGGTGTTGGTATAAAACCATTGCACTTCTAGAGGAGGGTGGTTTTAAGGTTACTGCCGTAGACTTGACCGGCTCTGGTATTCATTCATCTGATACAAACAGCGTTACAAGTCTTTCACAATACGTGAAGCCTCTTTCTGATTTTCTCGAAAAACTTCCGGAGGGGAAGAAGGTATATTCAATTGTTCAATTGCTTTCCAATTACTTTTCCCGATTCCTAATCTTATCTATGCTGCTGTTTTAGCGTGAATTTCGTTCCATGGTCATCTTAACACTAGTTCACAGCCAAACTTCACTTATAATTGGTAAAATTGAGATTTCACCACTTTAACTTTCGAAAGGTGCTCACTTTGTTGGTGATTTGATATGCCGCATGTGTAGCTTTCAAGAACTATGGGATGTAAAGTTTGCGACTTTGCACTCCTTTGAGACTCTATAACTTAGCTCGTTTTGGAATGTTCATATAAACGAAACTAAAACAGTTATGCCTGAAAAACATGTACTTGCTCTATAGTCGCGCTAAAAAATATGAGCTATATTTATTGTTTGGTACTTAGACTAGTATGCGTCTTCGGTATATAACTTCTTCTCTGTTTCAATTCTTTTGTTTGCTGTATTATGCAGGTAATATTGGCGGGTCATGATTTCGGTGGTGCATGTGTATCATATGCAATGGAGTTGTTTCCGGATAAAGTCGCAAAGGCCATTTTTATTGCTGCGGCAATGTTAAAGAACGGACAAAGTACTCTTGAAATGTTCTCCCAACAGGTTTTCCCTCAGACTTTTTGTCTTTGAATTGATAAATCTGTAATTTCCCTCAGGTGAATGGATTTCAAAATCTGAAATTTGACGTTAGATTTCGTATCCTTGAAACCTTAATATGTGTAGATAGATTTGTTTAATGTTTATCCTCTGAATCTACTTAAAAGAACCCATTTTTCTTCTCTGCAATTTGCAATAGCATTTTGCCTCACGTCCTGTCACTATGTTTTACGGAATATTTACACACGAGTATCGTAATTCTGAACTGAATAACTTATTTAAGGTTTATATGAATTGTTGAGTGACTAATGCTTAGAATTATTGCAGGCAAGTTCAGACGATCTTATGCGCCAAGCCCAAGTATTTTTGTACGCAAATGGGAATGATCGGCCTCCAACTGCTATTGATCTTGATAAATCGTTGTTGAAGGATTTGTTATTTAACCAAAGTCCTGCCAAGGTAATGCCTCACTTCTTTAAATGTACCAAGCTCCCGACGAAAAGCATCCAAGTGGTTTTCCATTTTCCCTATCAGTTTTGCTAATTTCTTTTACTTCTGTTGCTCCAGGATGTCGCATTGGCATCCGTCTCTATGAGGCCAATTCCATTTGCCCCGGTTCTGGAGAAGCTCTCATTATCCAACTTGAAATATGGTTCGGTGAGGCGGTTCTATATAGAAACATCTGAAGACAATGCCATACCCACCACAGTCCAGGAGAGCATGATAAAAGAAAGCCCTCCCGAACAGGTCCTTCGCTTGAAAGGCGCTGATCACTCACCTTTTTCTCAAAGCCTCAAGCCCTGCACAAGTTATTGGTGGAGATTTCAAAGATTTCTACATAGAGACACCACCTTTTTCCTGCTGGGTGTCGTCTATAAAGCTGTTCTTTCTTGATCTCCGCTGGCATATGATTGAAATGCCGCCGGAATCATCCGTAATTTATGCAGTTCAATTAGATAAGATATCGAGTTAAGCATGTAAATAAACATAGCTATAGGATAAAAGTTGTGTTTGTTCGTTTTATGAGACATGTTCACAAAAAGATGTCGAGCTCGTTCTGAAGTGCTTTTAAAATGGTTGAAAGCGCTTCTGGCGAAAATGTTTTCGGAACCAATCCTTAGTAAAAATGCAAGTGAATCTTGGAAAAACATTTAAAGTGCTTGGAATCCAAAATCATTTTTGCTAAAAGCAATTTCAGTTATTTTAAAATCACTTCCAAATGAGTTCGTATTTTTGAGGTAATTTTTCCGATCAAATGCAATTTCGTCACTGTGTTCAGAAGTTTGTTTTAGTAGGACTCAGATGAAGTTTAGACTATTAACTTTGAGTAAACATACAAAAATGAAACATGTCACACCAAACCTCTGGAACACAATTGATTGCAAAATTTCCAGATTGCAACCATCGGGGATATATTTTATTTTTCTCTCATCACGCGAGTTATAGTCAGTTGGACGAGTTGCCACCTCACCAACGTGGGTGCGCAACTGTGAATCATTGATCCCAAATAACGCCACGTGCGGATTCGAACCATATCACCAGCTCAGAAATTGACCATGTCTCTGGTTAGAAAAAAACAAATCCAAACGCGAACAAACCTCTCTGTTGCTTTTGCAGGGCTCCAAAATTCAGGCCCCAAGAGCAAGAGGAAGCAAAAACAACGTACGTTAATTTTCCATTTTTTTTTCTATCTGTGCAAAATTCAGATCAATTACCATGTTTTCTTTGCCATGATCTGATTGTTTGTTTCTGTTTTTCCAATTTCATGTTAATTATCCCCCCTTTTCTCTGGTAATATATGTCAATGCCTTGTGCACATGAGGTGGTACATTTTCTTCTAGGGCTACAGTTTTGTTCTTCCTCGTTTAGAGTGCATATGGCTAAATCACTATCTTGTAATGCGTCGATAATCTGTTGTTGTATGGACCAATTTTGCATTCATAGGTATCTTTTAGCTGGGTTTTGCATACGTCATCACGATATAAATCGTACAATACCCTCTTTAATTATCAAACATAGGTTGGCTTGTGATCAAAGTCTAAACTTTCAAGTGCAAATGTTGCCGTCCTTTGAAATAACATGTTTGGTTTGGGACTTGTTGCTGGAAATAGGAAAAGAAAACATGGGGCGTGGAGTCAGCTGCGGTGGTGGAAAAAGCTCTTTGGGGTATTTGTTTGGAGGTGGAGAGACTGCCACTGCTAACAAAACCCCAAAAACTACTAACAGCACACCACCTCCACCCCAGAATGCTAGCCCAGCTCCTGCTCCTGCTCCTGCTCCTTCTCCAGCTCCTGCTTCGTCACCGAGCGGTAAGCAGCTTCCAGCCGGAATTCACAGCAAGCCTACGAACAATTACCTCCGAGTTGATGGCCAGAACTGCGGAAATTTCATCACGGTGCGTAATCTTTTAATTAGTTTACTTGTTTCATAGGCTTATGGTTATAACTCTGTCTTTGTCGCATAACCATGTCGTGCAAGTCTAGTCCGGCTATGACACATGCGTCTGTTCTGTAACTGTGGACAGATTATTGATAGCATGTTGGTATCGTTGTAGCAAAAACAATGTACCACCATGTTATCGTACGTTATTTAAAATACAGATACAATATTTGATGGCGCATTCGTTGTTTATCAAGTGAGGATATGTTTTTGTTGATGACGGGTTATGTATGTGGATGCAGGATCGTCCATCGACCAAGGTTCACGCGGCTCCCGGTGGCGGATCATCCCTTGGCTATTTGTTTGGTGGTGGGAGTGGGAACTGAAACTTGCTTATATAGAAATCACCACAAGCACTGATAATATACACAATTATATACATATATGTATGTATAATTCAGAAATATGAATACCTACATGCTCCAGAAATGTCATGTTTGCAAATGTAATGTTGTATGATGGATATAAATTTGGCTACAAATCCAAATGCAAGTGCATAATGCACTGGTTCTGCAGTTCTTTGTCGTTTGGCCTTCATTGTACTCTCTACTTCATCCATTCACTGACTCGGACTCGTTTGAAATTGCTTTTAAAAGTGTTAAAGACGCCTTCTGACAATTAAAAGCGTTTTCAGCAATGTCTGATTAGAAAAAAAGAAATAGTTAAAAAATAGTTTAGGATTTGTAGTGCTTCATCGGAGAAGCACTTATCTAGTGCTTCATGAAATGCATGTTCGTTGAGAGCGTCGTCGAAAAATGCTTGGTACACACAATTGCAATCCATATGAACATATAATTCGAGACTCAATCAGAATTTGGGATTAAAACTCAATCCAGCTCAATCAAAGTCATCCTACTGCTAAAATTTATAGAAATAAAGTATAGAGTCTGTTTTTACTCAACTCCCCTAACCCCTAGTAAGTACGTAAAATAAACACGATTAGCTAATTTAACACATGTCATGATTTTGGAGTAGGGGGGCGGTAACTGTCGCTTTGGGTAAGGGGGTTGAGTAAAAACGGACTCTAGAGTATAGCATTATTTAGGTCGAAAACAATAATTAACTATTGATATATGACTAATTAGCAAATTATATTAATTTTTCACTAATTTTTTATTAAAATTTAAATAAATAACAACTCTAAATATAAACAAAACTTATAGTCAAATCTAGTAGCGTGGACTTGTAATTAAGCAAAGTATTAAAGCGATGGGTGATGGAGCCTTGGTCAAATGAAGCATGGTTGGTTGAAATCTGTTCACTACTCTTGTGAAGTCACTTTAAACACGCCCTAAACCCCTCGAGTTAGTAGGGCACCCCACCCTTATGAGTGGGGTTGCAAATAAATGAAACTTATAGACGATAATAACCATCTATAATCGCACACGAAAATTATAGACGATAATAGCCATCTATAATCGCACACGAACTTAGATGATAGATAGCTTAAGCCTCGGCTAGGGTTTTCGTCTCTCTCTCTCTCCCTTGTCTGTCTCTGCTGCAAAACAACAACCAAATTGCAGCTGCGGAGAGCTCCAACAATGACGACTGTGGTGCAAACCTCCGAGGAAGATCCCGCTCTGGCCGTCGTCCGATTCACCTCGGAGCTCGCCTGGGCCGACGCCGGCCACGAGGTACTCTTCTCTCTCCTCTCTCAATTTCCCCCTCCATGTTTTCTCTGCGCATTTAGGTCAAGATATGATTGTGTTGTAGTTTATTCTATATTCAATTCGGTGGTTGGATGCTTTCCACTCGGTTTATTGGATCGAGTCATTGAACTGAATTTTAGGGTTTGTTAGTGTTAATCTGTGATTAGATACTGGATTTGTTTTCTTAAATTTTAGTTCTTTGTTGCGTATTACATGATTAATCTCTAAACAGCTTAAGCCTACACTCAGTTTTAACTGTAATGCTTTCAAATCCGAAGCTTGGGTTTGCCGAATTTCGTGACAATGTGAAGGAAGATTTGATATTTCACCACCATTTTTTCCTAACAAAAGAAATCCGAAATACTTGCGGATGTAATGTGTGTATAGATACTGTGCATATGTATATCGTTACGGAAGTTGGTGAATTTCTTTTTATCTTCGTCATGACTAACTGCCAGGTTGCTGAGCCACAAGTTACTAGACTATGTGCTGAAGCCCAAGAATGCGTGGAAATGGGCAGGTCGTTCGATTTGGTGTCACTTATGCTTACATCGGCTGAGGTCATATTGTCAAAGGTCTCGGAAAAAGGTACAATTTGTATTATGAAAATTTTATGTACTATTTTGAAGAAGTTAAGTGGATTGAGGGGCTTAGTATTGCATTCCATGACTGTATGTTCTCACAAATTTACCATTTAGCTGATTGATGTTGATGTGAAGGACATCATGTTGATGGTACAGAGGTTTTTCTTCCAATCCTCGTTCATCCACTATTATTTAATTTTTGCTTGAAGTTCTATAGCATAATTACATCAAAGTTCTGCATATGTTTTTGGTCAGTGACGTAGATGCTCAACAATGTAGAAATTGAAATTGCTAATATTCTTTAAAATGTTCCTGATCAATGCTGGACGTTATGGACTTAGTGAATCACTGTGATGCATGGGCACGGTGGTATCCCCTCGTATCCTTGTGTTGTGTCATGTCATGTCGTATTCCCTTGTGGTTGTTAATTTGACGTATCTCCGTGTCAAGTCGTATCCCTGTGTCCGTGTCCATGCATCGTAGGTGAATCAACTCATTCAATTATTAGAGATAATTAAGTGATAGCTTAACGGTTTTGTCAATGTTTATCATACACAAATTCATGCTTTTTTTTTTCTTTTTTTTTTCCTATTTTTTTTCCTTCTAGATCTTGAGTGCATATTCACTGTTATCTGCAACGTGGTTACAAAGTCGGAAAGTCCAGATGAAGCACTTGAGATGGCAAAGCTTATATCCTCAAAGATTACTCAAAAACCAAGTGACAAGCCTGCACTGCGCGTAAAGATGTATGATACCATTGTGATCACGAATTTAGCTTTTTTGATTTTAAGTACTTCTGACCGTTTTTCGTTGTTCTTTACAGTTTGTTCAATCTGTACAACCTACTGGAGAACCCATATAGCCGGTTCTTAGTCTACTTGAGTGCGCTTAATTTGGCAATCAATGGGAAGGTCGCTGAACATGTCATCCCTTCATTCAAAAAGGTGGAAAGTTTTTTGAAAGAGTGGAATATTGGGATCTCTGATCAGAGGCAGTTATTTCTTGCCATTGCTAATGTTCTGAAAGAACATAAAAAGTATGTTTTGTAATATTTTTTTCTATATATACATGTCTCTCCTCGATTTGTTTTAAGAACAATTGGTTGTATTGTCTGTTGTATTTTCAGCTTGGCAAAGGAGTCTTTCAAATTCCTGACCAAGTACTTGGCGACTTTTTCTGGTGAAGATGCACATACATTGAGTGAAGCCAAAGAGGAAGCTGTACGCACAATTGTTGAGTTTGTGAAGGCCCCAGACATGTTTCAGGTTATTTTTGTAGGATCTAGTGGAATTTTGAAGATTTTTTATACTAATCTTTTGGGCCGTATTTCTCTTTGGTGACTCTTCATCCTTATTTACTTGTGATAGATCCTTTACAAAGTAAGTTACATTTTCTTGTTAACAAAAACTCTATTTTTATGTGGTGGATCCAGTTGATTGTGTAGTAGTTTAAAATTGATTCATATAAAGTAATATATTAATACTATTGTTTTTCTGGCATTAGTCTGAATAAACACATGACGAAGTGCTGGTTTAAGATCAGCACTTCAAAACAACTAGGCATTTGGCTGTGATGATCATATCGTCCCCTTCCATTAGGCATTTAGATAACTGAATGTCAGTTTTGTTATGCTGCAGTGTGATTTGCTAAATATGCCTGCTGTAGAGCAACTGGAGAAGGATACTAAGCATGCATTGGCCTATCAGCTTTTAAAGATCTTTCTGACTCAGAGGCTGGATGCTTACTTGGAGTTTCAGGCTGCAAATTCTGATTTACTGAAAAGCTACGGTAAAGTTTAGTTTCAACTGACTGCGTTTTCTTTGGACTATTACTTTGTTTTATTTGTCTAAATTATGCTTTTTGAAACGTTATAGGTCTTGGCCATGAAGACTGCATAACTAAGATGAGGTTGATTTCTTTGATGGATCTTGGTTCTGATGAATCTGGACAGATTCCTTACGGTGTTATCAGAGATACTCTTAAGGTTAGTTTGGATTACCTTTCTGGTTCCAGCGGTTTTTATTTGACATCATGGTTAATTATGCTTATGCACTTCGTTTTGGCAGATTAATGATGATGAAGTTGAACTTTGGGTGGTAAAGGCAATAACTGCCAAGTTAATGGACTGTAAAATGGACCAGATGAATCAAGTGGTGATTGTGAGGTTAGTTTGTGTTTCATACCTTCTGCGTACACACAAAGACGTATATATTTGTTCTTGAACTGAATTGGCCTTTCATCTGCAGCCGCTGTACTCTCAGAGTATTTGGGGAAGAACAATGGCTTACACTAAGAACAAAGTTAGCAACTTGGAGGGTAAGTAACTGCAGCTGCGTTTTCATTACTGACTGCCCACTAAGAACCGATTTTGATTGCTATCGTATGAAAAACCACTCTTTGTATTATATTGTTCGTATCTTCATTATACAATCGTATATTGACAGAGTTCTTCATTTTCAGGGTAATATTGCAAACGTTATCAGCACCATTCGAGCTAACAGGATAGCTGACGATGGATCACAGGCAGTGCAAGGCTTAGTTATTCGTTAGAAACTTACGTCTTAACGTAGGTGCCTGATTGACTTATGAGAGGTTGAACGAGTATTATTGGTTCCCAGTTATTTTCGACTTGGATCAAATGTTTCTGAAAATTTTGACAAGAACATAGGCGCTTGTTTACAAATGTTATAACATTGTACTCTTGTGAAATGACGATCGACTGCTTATTCGTTGGGCAACTTCTGTTGCATTTTAAAACAGGAAAATTAAGAGCACTTGGCATTTGTTTTTTCTAGAAAACGCTTCTATGGCCTAGAAGTACTTTTAAGTCGCTCATCATCTCCCATTCGGATCGTTGACCTCTGAGATTTCGTTCATTTGCAGCACAACTTGACACTCTTTATGAACTTTCTATCCATCATGTTTTTTACACAATATTGTTGATGTTAAATTGTGAGGTGGCAGATACTTCATGAAGAGTCTTACTTTTAAAAGTCTTGTTTGCATTCCTCAAACCGAAATGATAAGAAAGTTTAAATCTTTCCAAGATTATTGACGATTGAATTTGTAATAAAATAAATAAAATGAAATAGAAAAATAAAGAATCACTTCATACATCCGGGACCATTCAAATTTCACATGGCAAATAGAGGGCGAAGACTTTGTTGTTACCCATCTTCTTCCAAACAAACTCTATCCTTACTGACTTTGTTTAAATGCAGAAATCAGTGGCCGATTAACGATTAACGATGAACCGTCAATTTGTTTGATTCATATAATAATAAAATGGCCA